GCAGCCCTTGCAGCCCAGGGTTCGGACAGCAGATGCCCTTGGGGGTCACCTCCTTTCCCACAGGGAAGGGTAGGATCGCTCCCAGCGTACCAGCGAGCTGGCGGGATCCCATTGCTTATTCTGTACATACGTGCCCCACACACCCCCTTTCCAGTAGCTGCTTAGTGGCCTGGTTTCTTTTCAAAGCTTTTTATATTTCGCATTCCTAAGATTTAATTATGTTATCAGAACAACAGGCATCAGGATTTGGAGTGCCAGAATTCACATTAGCAATTGCTATCAACAAAGAAAATGGGCACAGCATGCCCATGCCAGAGTAGATGTGGGCTGCTCTCCTCAATCTACTCACGGTTATTTATAGCCTGTTTGCAAGCCATCCACCTCCCAGGTTTAGATTCAAGCTTGCTTCTTTCTGAGTACCCTCTCCCTCAAAGAATAGCCTTTTGCCTCCCCTTTCCCTAGCACAGCACCCAGATGTGGACACACTTAATTCTTTTTTTTTTTTTTTTGGGGGGGGGGGGGGGGCAGTGACAAAACACCTTTGAATGTTCTTCCATACATCCACAACAGCAGAAAAGACAGAAAACAGAGTGCCACAAATAAGCAGCTGCAGGGACACCCACCCCTCAATGGCAGAAATAAAAAAAAAAAAAGTATTTATAGTTTCTAACACTTCACCACATCAGAGCAGGACCACTGTGCATCTCCAGCAGTTTCCCACCCTCCCCACAGATGGGGATGGAGGCACAAGCTCCACGAAGCAGGGCACATGCTTGAATGGAAGAAATGCCTACCTATTTTGAAATGATTGCAGAGAAGCAGCTACGTGACAGCAGGAGGGGAAAGATAGCTGTGTCCCCGCACCAGCATTAACTATAATTTGCCCATCCTTCAACCAGCACCATTTCAAGGCAGTCCGATTCTGCCAGGATCCTTCACCTCCAAGTAATTCAGAAACACAAGACGCAGCGCGTGTAGTACAGGTGCAAACCTACCCACCAGCTTATTTTCCTCCTCCCCTGAGCAGCAGCTGGCACACACAGCTCACGTCTTCTTCCTCCTAATCCCAGCTCCTGCTAAAGTCAACCCAAATTTTAAGGGAGATGCTAGCGGGAGCTGGGTCAGACCTCAGCTCTCCCGAGCCTGGGAGAGACTGGGAACTTAAGAGAACCCCTTCAGGCAGGTTAGCCGACGCGGCTTCGGCCAGCCCAGCGGTGTTGGGATGCCGGCGGGCACCGGAGCCCTGTGCCGGGCTGTCCGCGCACGCTGCATCGCTTCTGCGCCCGCGGGCTTGTCGCCCCGTCCCCAGCACCCGCCTGCGGCTGCAAAGCAGCATCGCTCGGGGCAGGGCTGGTCCAGAGCTCGCTCAGGGCATCGGAGGGAGAGGGGAGCCCGATCAAACCTCCCCGATACTCTGGTTAAAATGCAGAAGTGGTGCTGGTTTTAGTCCTGCCCAGTGACTAAGGAAATGCTCGGTCAGGCCCTGACTGAGATACTGCAGCTCCTCACATGCCTAGAATTCCACATGGCCCTGCAAAAGAAAGACATTATTAGAGTATCAAATACTAATAATTAAAAAATCAGCACAACCATCCGTAAAACATTAATAATAAAAAATAAATAATAAAAACCCCAAACACCACAACCCTTCTGCTAAAGGGGGGAGGAGGAGGCTCAAGCTTACAACTCTAGCACGTTTTATTTTGTGTAAATTTATAAAGACAACAATCCTAGTCACGATTGTCACATTGTACAGCACATACCAATACAGTTGCAAACAGAACTCCACGCAAAACTAAGCGCTAACAGTAGCTTGAATCACTCTTCCTGCGATTGTCGTATCTAGACTAACAGTATTACACTAACACTGAAGAAAAAATAGTTCACTATAAAACAGTGATAGAACGTTTTTATAAAATATATTCCATTCCAATAGCTTTTCTACATACTGTATACTATAAAACTTTCCCACAAAAATTAGTGTCTTTAAATATACATATTTAATCTGAACTGCACCAAGATTAAAAACAATTAAAAATATCAATGATTTTTTTTTTTACATTAACTTCACAGTATTTTTTTGTAGTAGAAGACAAATCCAGTGTTTAAAATGCAGAGCAGGACTGTTCCCTACAGAAACAGTAACTGCCCCACAGTGAAATAGTTTATGAAGAGACAAGCATAAGTGTGCCATGTTTTTAGTACTTCTCTGAAGAGTCATGAACCATTTTGAAAACATGCTCCGAGCTATTGCAACTTAAAAATAAGAGACACACACAGAGAGATAGCCAAAAAAAGTCACCTTAAGAACAAAAATAAGTGCAAACATTTTTTTACTTTAGAAATTCAAGCTATGAGGAGTGGGAACACAAATACCAGACTATGAGAACAGCGTGTTCATGATGTAGTCAAGAACGAGAAAGTCTTTTTTTTTCTTTTTTTTTTTTAAAAAAACTTTTGCCCCATATTCACTGCAGTACAGAGCATGCTCATAGCATCAGTTTAATGAATTATTTCTATACTAAGATCAGACACAAACTTGTTTCAACTTCTCCCTGCTCCATACACTAATGATGTTCTTATGGCACATCCTATTTTATGATCTTCTAAAAAATAATAAAAAAAGAAACAGTATTTGAAGACTGAAATGCAAAAAAGTGTCACAAAAAAATGCAAAATTAAGATTACCAGCTTCAGTAATGCTGACTCTACATTAAGCTCTTTACATGTTGTTCAACATGCAAAACCCATTGTTATAAAATTTAAAGTGAAGTGTAAATTAACTAGTTTTGAAATAGATTAACAGTAATAATTCCACTTCAAAAAAAAATCTAATAAATACTATATCAAGTATCTTCAGGAGAAAAAAAATAACTTAATTTTAGTAGAAAGAAAAATAACTTAATTTTAGTAGATTTTGTTCAGTGCTATTTCCAATCACAGCAAAAAGGAGAAAAAAAAAAAGAGAGAAAAAACTGATTAAGTAGAATAAGACCACAGTACCAAAGCCACTTATGTTCAAGATACAGTACTCTCCCACAACTTCCATATGTAACAGGTTCAGCAAAAATATTTTACAGTCAAGAAATGAGACTGAAAACAAAACCCAAAACTATAAATAGAAGCAAAATTTCACATTACATGTACATTCATAGTTTAAGAGATGAATAATAAGAGGAGGCTGTAACAAGTATATCCTGATTTTCTTTAAAAGAGGAAGTACTTATTTTTTAAAAAATAAAAATAAAAAAAAGAAATCAATCCCATATTATTTATGTAGGTAGTGCTCAGTTTTTGGACCAGAGGGGGAAGGCATCGGGAAATTTTTTCTTCATAAGATGAAATACAGTATTTTAAGCACAACTTTTAAAAATAATCTCAGTGCTTCAAATTAATTTTAAAATAAATGCTTAAGTTCCACAAAACAACTCCAGGAGTGTCAGGAAAGCTGGTGAAGCAACACTAACGCAGCAGAACGACATTCAAAACCCTCAGATATTATTATTATTATATTTCAGTCGCTTGTACATGTACCTTGAATGGATTATTTGACTGGAAGGGAATAATCTGATATTTACCAACATGCACAGACCAAAGGATGCTCTATTAGGCAAGTAATTGAGTTATTTGGAGTAAAACTGGTAATAGTTACAGGCAGCCTCAGTTTACAAACAAACTTAAAAAAAAAAAACCAAACAACAAACACCAAAAATACCCTAGACCTGTCCCCTGAACAAGTGGGAGACATGGGGGAAAAAAGTTGGGCCACGTTTTCCCTCCAGCAGTTTATCTTCACGCTGCCCCTTTGAAACCCTGGCGATTGCACAGAACTTGGCCCAGAGGGAATCACCAACTTCATAAAAAAATAAAATAAAATATAATTCCAAGCTGCTGATTTTAGCTTAGCAGCAAACTTTTTGGACAAGATAGCAGGGCATCTCCTAACACATGTGGTACGAGTTACCTTGAACTGAGACACCCCAGGAGCCCGATATCGAGAGGGTTATTTAGCTGCTTTAGGGCTGCTGTCCCTCCCCACCAAGGGGGAGAGATCAGCCCCTGGGTGTCGATATGGGAATGAAAATATTCACGTATCATATGATTTTTTCATACGCCCTAGCGCGCATCCTTCAACATTTCGGGAGTGAATACGCCGCAGACAGAAAGAGTTTTTCCATCCACGTTTTATGCTCAAAAGCAGCTTTTCAGTAGGTCAGCCCAGGGAAGAGGATGGGTGGAAGGGGAAAATTTAAGTCAAGTCCTGAGGCAAAAAATTCTCATTCAGATTTTAGGATCAATTGCAGAACTGTTCTAATATAATAAAGAGAATAAAAAATGACCAGTACCAAAGACGCAGCCAGGAATCCTCAACCCCCTTTATAATTTGGGCCAATTTAAGGTCTCGTCTAGCTCTGTAACATGAGAGTACATCTGCACACTCTGCGATATGCGGACAAGTTTCTCTACACTGAAATGTATTTAAATCATAGTTCATCTCTTTGGATGTTTCTATGCAACACGCAGAGAGCATTAGGGGAGCTTAACGGAATCCAAATTTTTCTCCGGAATTTGCTGATAATCTTTTTTCAAACTAAAAAAAAAAAAAAAAAACCAACCAAAAAAACCCCCAAAACCTGACCACGAGGCAAGTACTTCCAGCATGAAAACAGATGCTAAATCATTGCAGAATTACTTAGATCATTTCACATTAATAATGTAACATGGGTGCGCAAGAGAAGACCTAAAGAACAGTGCTGGGAAGGGCGGGTGGCAGGGAAGGGGGGAGATGGAGAGGTGGAAGGATTGCATTAAAAGGCCTCTGGAGTGTATACCTCTGCATCTTTTAAAGATCATATACCTGAAGTGAGTATCACCAAAATAAAACAAAGGAAGGGAGGAAAAAAAAAATTAAAATTCAGATGCTGCCTTTTTTTCCTGTTTTGTTTTAAATGGGCGGAGGGGAAAAAAAAAATTAAAAAAAAATAATAAAATCGCACTTCTCAAACAACCAAGGACTTTACAAGGCCACAATGAAATTTGCGGATATGTCTGTACAAATCCCCCGACTGCGTGAACCGTCTCTCGCACCACTTGCACCCGTGGGGCTTCTCCCTGGTGTGCACCACCGCGTGGCGGCTGAGGTTGTGGGAATACTGGAAGCTCTTTCCGCACTGGCCGCAGGTGTAGGGCTTCTCCCCCGAGTGAGTCCTCTCGTGCCTCTTTAAGGTGTACATGCAAGAAAAAGTCTTTCCGCAGAGGGTACAAGTGGGGACGGACCCGTCGGGGGACAGGCGGGTCCGGGAGCCGTCCTTGTCGCGGAAGTGGGAGCTCAGGTGGAGCTGAAGGATGTGCGGGCTCGGGAACACCTTGCTGCACAGGGGGCAAATGCAGATATGCCCGGGAGGCACGAGGACGCCGGAGGAGGAGATGTCCGACGAATCCATGTCGTCCTCGCTCTCGTCTCGCTCGTGGTCTAGATCCTCCTCTCGGGCATGAGAGCTGCCATTCCCCGCAAACATGTGTCCTAACCCTGTCACTAGGCTTTTGGCTGAATTCCCAAAATGCTGACTCTCCGGACTCCTGGCTTCGCCGTCCTCCTGATCTGACAGCAAGTCTTGTTCATCTTTAACAAGTGGCTCGGTACCCTGCTGCTGGCTGTCGGAAGCCAGCTGTCCAAAGACATAGGAGGGGTGTAAGGAATCTCTCCCCGGCACGGGCTTGAAAGACAAATCCAGCGCGCAGTCCACATCACTCGAAGCCAGGGGATGGTTAACAGACCTTTGGGACAAAGGTCCCGTGGAACTATTGACATTAGCCTTTGTTTTTCCAGCTGCTGCGGCGCACGGTTCTGCCTCTGTCGGCACAGAGCTGACACTTATATGATCAGAGGACCAGGCGGGGTGACTGCTGACCTTTTCTTTGCCTGCTGCTCTCTCGTATTCTGCAACGCTGAATTTTTGTTTGTTTCCTGGGTCAAACTCGTGGACCAGGGGCACTCCGGCGTCTAGAAAATGCTCCGCTTTCTCCAAACTAGCCGCCTCATCATTAATCTTCTCTTCCGAACATAATTCTTTATCTTTCAACTTGCCCTTGCAGACTTTCACAATGTCATACATGTGAAGGTAGCTAGCCGCAGCCAGCACATCTTCGACCGGGAGACTGTTGAATTCCAGCTTTCCCTCGTACATGAATTCGAGCAGCAGGCTGAAGGCAGGGGCTGTGACAATGTCACTGTTCAGATGCACAATATCCCTTTTGTCTAACTGGTCCCTGTAGAAAAGATGGAAGTACATACTGCAAGAGGCAAGAACGGCTCTGTGAGCTCTGAATTGAGCTTCTCCAACTAAAACAGTACAGTCACACAGGAAGCCCTGGTGACGCTGCTGACTCAGACACTGCAGCAACTGGCGGCTATGGTCTGGAAACTCCATTCTTCCTTCATAACCTGTTCAAAACAGGAAAAACTTGAATGCTACTGTAAACTAAAGCCTCCTAGCAGCTGTAACAAACAGATCGGCTTTTTGGTAACACAAGCCAAAGAAAGAGCCTTGGAGATAACGTTTACTGTTAATTGTCTGTAATAGTTTTATTAAGGGGGGGGGGCGTGGAGAAAAAAAAAAACCAACACAACATGCTTCTCATCCTTTCGCACCTGCTCCGAACAGGAAAAACTTGATTGTAAGTAAACAAAAGCTAGTAAAGCAGCAGCCCCTCCAACCTTTGTTTCTCTCACTAAGCACTTAAATAAAATTAAGAGGAGGAAAGCACACACACAGGGAAAAAAAAAAAGCATAAACTCCCAGGCTGTCTTCCCAGCAACGCGAACTCGGGGCATCTTTTAATAAAGCACATTACCCACGTCACGCACATACACACACGCACATTTAAACTTTATCCCCAGTCGTTATGCACCGAATCACAACAAAACAGCGGCGGCGGGCGCTGGGGAAGAGCCGTTTTTTTGCAGGGAGGGAGCAGGGCGGGGAGAAGCGGCCCCGGCCCCGGCATGCGGAAAGGGGCGGAGGGGAA